CTCCCCCTCCCCCTCCCAAACTGTCACATTAGTCACAAATTAATGTGCATAATCTGCTCGGTTTAAAGCGTTTCAATAATTATAGTGACGACTGAACGACTTTGGTCGTGGCATGCGTTATAGCAGGGCGTCAGCGAAGCCCATTGCTCCACAAGCTAAAAAAAGTTTCTTGAATTTTAAGACCTGGTGTTGGATCTCATTGAGAACGCCTGTATTGACATCCAAGACCGAGTCTTGAAATTCAAGGAACTTCTTTTTACCGTGCACCGACGAAAAGTATTTGTCTGTCTTATGCATGATAACTCGCGTCGAGAAAAAAGTGATCTAATTATTTGGGTCGTGTTCTATTAAATGACTGGTCATTTTTAAATTGGATCATGGAAGCTCAAAAACTGAAACGAGTAAAAAAATTAATATAAGAATTCTCTCTCCCCCTCCTTCACAAAACGGCATTAAAATACTTACACATTTTCACTCGGTGTACTAAAGTATTGTGTATTTCGGCTAACGGTAGCGAGTAGAACATAAAGTAAACATGATTATACACGATGAAGAAGACTGCGAAGGTGCGTCTCGACGCTTGGACTTTGAAGTTTGTCATGTCCACGAGGGAAGTGGGCAGGAGAAGGTCGTGAGGGAGGCGAGAACGAGAACGTCGCTGAATGACCATCGTCGCATGCGGCTCTTCATCTGATATTGTAAGTTAATATGTCCACTTTCTATTTCCCTTTTCAAAGAAAATTTTTGTCGTAGACGAGGGGCAAAACACCAGGAAACAAAGCGTACGGGGCTCGTTCGTGGTATTTCACTGCCATTTCAGGGCATTTCGCGACTATTTAGCCTTTACTTTCGCACTATTTCGCCTTTCTTTTGCGTCCAGGGGTACGGCACAAAAATGTCGCAAGTACATTCTCCCTCGATCGTAGATACTGTTCATTGTGGTGTGGTTTTATATCCCTGTTTACTCTGTTCTGCATATTCTCACTTTACCTTAGAGTTACAATCACGTTTTGCGTCAGGTCCTCGCTCGCGGCCTGCACTAGCAAAACAAAGTTGTTTGACATGCAAGAAACCGTTCAACACCTGGTTGCTGGCAGTGGTAAGCTGGTTCACTCCGCCCGCCTGCGTAAGGGATCATCCAGAAAGTGCGTCCTGCATTCGCCGCTACGAACCTGCCAAATAGTTCCACCTCTGCAAGGTCTCATGACGCCTGGTCGGTAGGCAACATCTTGCCTGTAGGGCATTCATGTACTGTGGTGTGGCCCACCCGGAGTCTCTCAGGAGTTGAGCTCGCATATGAATGAATATGAGAAAAACGGACATACTTTCTGGATGATCCCTATAAGTGCCGCATGCAAGCATACGTGCGGACGGGTTGCCTACTCGATCGGGTCAAAAACGAGGCAAACACTCACGCACGCATGTCGCATGTCTGCATGCGTGACCACGGATGTGTGTGTGGGGGGCGGGTCGAAGCCGCCTCACCCCTCACCTGGTACTTGTCTGCTTTCGAGAGACGACGTTTGAATGTTGCCGCGTTACCGAGGCTGGTGCGTGACGCCCTCTAGTGCTGCGAGGCCGAACTGCCGGCGAAGTAGTGCCAACGTCTGAGAGAAGTATCTCTTTAGCATTTTGATTGTAACGTGTTCATCTATTTTTTCCGTACTCTCGCAAACGATCTCGTTCAGTTGGTTCACAACATTAATCGTATATTTCATGCCTGTAAAGCACTTGCTCCTGCGATAAACGCTTGTGACTGGTGCGCCCGTGTTTGTAGAAGACTCAAGCGAAGTGTCTCAGCGGTTGGTGCTCTTTGCCGCGTTGAAAGGGATGTTGGGGTGGTTGGTGGTCGTGGGGTGGTGGAAGGACAAAAGAGAAACAGAGGGAGAAGGGGTTGGTGAGGGCGCTCGGAGGCAGGGGTGGCTGCGCCTGCTGCGCCCTCCCCCTCGGCCAGCCGAGCGCCCTCCGAGCGCGGCCCGATTGTGACCCGAAGCCGATCCGAGCCCCCCACCCTCGGGACAGCAAACTCTCCCCCACATCCCCGAACCCCCAGGCTGTGACCCGACCCCCATGTGCGACGGGGTTTGTCGGCAGACGTATCAGTAGAGCCAGGCGCTGGCCAGCAGGCCCAGCCGAGCAGCGAGCGCCGCGCAGAACCGCGCAGCTCCGCGGGCGGCCCCGCTGGCCCAGCAGGCACTGCACCGGGTCGCACGGCGCGGCCCCGGATCATGAGACAAGGTGAGTGGAGGTCCAGCGGCTGCGGCAGCTCGGCGGCAGCCTCCGGGCCCGCCCTCCCGGGCTCCGGCCGTGGAGTCCCGCCCCGCCAGGCGCCCGCGCTGCGGGCCTGGCCGTCCTCGCCCCGCACCGCACCGGCCCGCCCGGCCTCCGGCCGCGAGCGGGGGCGGCGGGGGGCGGCAGGGTCACGATGGTCCATCAGGTCGACGCCATTGCCCTGCCGCACCGCGCACGGTGCCTGCCGAGAAATGGGAGAGCTTCCCGTGGGCTTGCAGTCTGTCAGTTTCCTGATCCGGGTCGCCGTTGAGTGATGCGCCGAGCCCGACACCCGCCCCCGACCTGGGCTCCACCCGCTCCGCCCCCGCCACGCCGGCCCCGCACGTCCTCCTCTGGCGCCTCCCCGCTAACCGCGCGATGCATCTTTTCCCAGAATCTGTCCCCACCACTTTTTAGCGCTCAGAGTAATGTGTTTGCTGGAGCGCGGGGCGGCGCGCTGCGTGGGAGTCGGGGTGGGGGGCTCCGGAGCCAGCTGGAGCAGAGCGCGGCGAGCCTCCCGGGGGGCGCTCAATTCACTGCTCCCTTCCAGCTCCTTCTCACTGGTACCGCCGCGCTGCGCCGCCGGCCTGGCGCTTTGTCCCACCCCGTCCCGTCGTGTCATTTTAGCCGAACTCTCCCATCCCTTTCAGGCCGAGGGAAGGGGGCCAGGCTGGGGGATAGAGGGGCAACTGAGATTGCGAGCGCAGCTGCCGCCCTGCATTCATTGTGAGAGGCGGGGCGGGGCGGGTAGCACGAGGTCACTGGAGACGCTCGGTAACTGGAAGCAGAAGAACCGAAGGGATGGCGGTGATCATCAGACCGTCCTGCGACACGGATGGAGCTCCAGCAGGACTCGCCCGAGTCCCGCGGCCCTTTCTTCCGGGCTGGTTGCGATGCGTTCAGGCGGAGTCGTGCCTCCCTCCGGCTCCAGTCCAGATTACTCGGTCCTTTGTGGCTCCGGACGCGGCACAACAGCCCGTCCTCCGGCCCGCCCCCGGCCCGCCCCCGGCCCGCCTGTCCCGTTACGCAAAGAGCGCGCTGGCCGGGCACTTACGTAAGGAAACACGGCGATGGCCGGCCGTCCCCCAGGGGGAGAGAGATGGGAATGAGGACCTAGCTGAAAAATGTAGGTCTGCACGATCGATTTTGTAGCTAGTTGTTTAAATCGCGCGTCTTTTTCTTTCAGATAGATAAGGAGTCACCAACCTAACCCTAAATAGCCGCAAGGCAAAAAACAAATCGTCCTCGTCGTACTCTAACAGAACTGCAAACCTTGCCACCTTCCCACCAAATGCCATCTGTGGATTGGGCCCTCTCAATGGTAGGCAACGCCGTTGCACCGGTGCAAGACACGTTGCCTATCCTCGGTTCCACAGGCGGCCGCGTCTCGCTGTGGAAGACACACGAATAGTTTCCGCCGCCCACGAACAGTTCTCGTCCTCGCCAGTCGAATCTGAAATTAATCTACAACTCGATCGTATTGCCGCTAGATACGATCGATACGATTTCCTTTTGTATTCGACTGCCGCCAAGTCCGGTAAATGGATTGACGCTTCCGTCTTTGCTGCGCCACTCTGTTTCCTGGCCGGTGGTCGTGGTCTCGCTGGCGTGCGTTTGCTGGTCGTCACGGTGCGGTCCCAGTGGATGAATACACCATTGCCATTCCCTCCCCCCTCTCGCCCGTTGTCTCCCTCGTTTGTCTCCCCCCGTTGTCTCCCCCGCCCCCTCAGTGAGGCCGCGCCACGCCACTCCGGGGCGCGAGGGATTGGAAAGGTCGCACGGGGTGACGGACGGACCGAGGGGGAGGCTTTCCGCCCCGTATTATTTGCTCCTCTGATTTTGTCCCATCCCGATCGTCAAAGTGGGTGTCCCTCCCCC